TAGCTTATCTCGAGAGCTTTCCAAAACGCTATAATAAAGTATTTCTTCATTGAGTACTTTCGAGTTATGAGGCTTGAAATCATTTCTTAATTTTGCATGAACCATAAAATAGTAATTGCAATTAACAATTCCATATTTTTTCTCAAAAACAACTGTATGTTTTCTTTACACCAATTGATTTCTCTCATTATTTTGTACATGAAAGTATTAAAGTAGGATAATCGAAAAATGAATATTTTACTAGATATTTTACGGTTTATGTAAAGTTAAGAAATGATTTCAACCCTCATAACTCGGAAAGTACTTAATGAAAACTAACATAATTATATATTATTATAGTGTTTTGGAAAGCTTTCGACTTGAGCTACCAGAATATTTAATAAAAAGTAGGGAGTTCTATTTAAAAAATTGACGGTGATCTTTACGTGACTTTCAAATGACTCTCCCATGTCAAATCATTGCCATTTTCTGATGGCCCCCTTCAAGCCATACAACTTTTGTCTGAAACATTTCTTTCTAAAGTGCATAGTTTATTAATTGTATTTTTACACTCTGTAATTTTTACACTCTAATTTCCCTTTTTGTGGAATGAGTATTTCACGTTGACCCCCACTTCTTTTGGTAGCTCCTTCAGGTTTCATATATCTACAATGATTTCGTGGATCCAGGGTGTGGTCTATCTTGCTGTTTTAATTAATTCTACTTGGATAGTATCCGAGGCGTTGTTTTTTAGTTTTTTAATTGCTCTTTTCACTTTCTTCATTATTGGTTGTCCTTCGGTGTTGTATTTTATGCGTCGTCTACAATGAGATTTTAAGGAAACTTAAAGCGTAAGACTTAAGAAATTGACCAATCACAGTCAAGTATTAAGAGAATATTCGATTGTGATTGGTCAATTTCTTAAGTCTTACGCCTTAAGTCTCCTTAAAATCTCATTGTAGACGCCGCATTATGCGTTCAGCGATTCTTGTTTGTTGTTATTTTGTCTGATGGTATTGTTGTTTGTATCATTAAAGACTCCACAAAGTGTTCTCTCCATCTTTATAGGATATCTTGAAGTCGTCTTTTTAAGTCGACATTTAGTCAACTATTTCTAGTACAGTTTATTGCCGACTTTAACTTATCGACTATGAGTCGACTTAAGGTCGACCATTTTCAGAAAATTAAAAGTCGCTTTTCGGCAAAACAAAAAATCGATTAAATTACATATTTTCAATTAAATTAAGCATTTTCAAAGACTTGATTGATTTAATTTCATTATTTTTTAATTGTATGTAATATATGTAATAATAGAATTATATGTAATAATAAAAATATTCATTTATTTTCACGAGCTTCACACCTCGCTGCTAGATGGTGAGAAAAAAAACGCCTAACCCGAAAGTGGAATTCATCTAACCTAAAAGGAGAGGTCGCGACCTTGGGGTCACCGAATTAAATAAAATTTTAACTGCGTGTAGTACTCGACCAAAGAAGTTTTTGAGGAAAGTGAGAGGACGCAACGCTCAAAAAAGAACCAAGTGAAAAATAGACCGTATCTTGTATATCGGTAAGTTTAAAATGATTGTCAAGTAAGCGGCGTAGCTCGGGCGGTAAAGCCCGATACTATTATGCTGCTGGTCACAGGTTCGATCCAGACCTGTGGTAGTTTCTTTTTTTTTTTCATTTTTTTTACGCGAAACGTACAATATTTTTTTAATGAAAAAAATTAAATTAATAATTTAATTTTTTAAATAAATAATTTAATTTAATTTTTTTGTTTTTATTTTATTTTTATTTTAGGAAAGGCAATTATTTACGATATGTTAATTTATATTAAATTTTATAATTAATTAATAAGTGGCATAATAATTTTATATATTTTTTTTGTTAATATCGAGTAGAATATATAGAATTGTGACGTTTTATAAAATTTAATATAAATTAACATATCGTAAATAATTGCCTTTCCTAAAATAAAAATAAAATAAAAACAAAAAAATTAAATTATTTATTTAATTTTTTTCATTAAAAAAATATTGTACGTTTCGCGTAAAAAAAATGAAAAAAAAAAAGAAACTACCACAGGTCGGGATCGAACCTGTGATCAACAGCATAATAGTATCAGGCTTTACCGCCCGAGCTACGCCGCTTACTTGACGATCAGTCTAAACTTACCGGTATACAAGATACGGCCTATTTTTCACTTGGTTTTTTTTAAATGGCTGAGCGTTGCGTCCTCTCACTTTCTTCAAAAACTTCTTTGGTCGAGTACTACACGCAGTTAAAATTTTATTTAATTCGGTGACTCCAAGGTCGCGACCTCTCCTTGTAAGATAGTAATATAGTAAGATAGTAATATAGTAATATAGTAAGATAGTAATATAAGGTCGCGGCACAGGTCCCACGAATTACGGTTTATCGGTCAAAGAGCACGGACTATTTCGCCGCATTTCCTCTAGCTAGCAAAGGCTAACTTCTTTTGCAAGGAGTTTCAGAATTCCATATAATTAACCGCAGACGATTAATTATTTTTTAATTCCATCATATATGTATCTATATACAGAACATTAAATGAATATCCAAAAATAAATATCAATATATACAAAAATAAATATAATATATATACATAATAAAAAATGTATCTTTATATGATACATATCCACTGAATGTTATGCAGATATTTACAAGATATTGATTTACATATTTTGTAGATATTTATGAAACTTCGAATTGCGGACATTTAGATATCTACAGCATCTACAATAACTATTTTTCATATATTCGTGGAAATATTTAAGCCTATGAAGAATATCTAGTGGATATCTAATACCAATTGTTTTCTGTATGGGAATTAAATCGATCAAGTTTTTGAGAAATGACATTAGAATAAAAATTTAGTAGTTAACGGACATGATATTAAATTGACTTATAATCACCATAAAGTTGACTTCTAAGTCGACTTATTAGCTGACTGACAGTCGACTATAGTCGAGTCATTTGTCGGCTGTTAGTCGACTTTAAGTTGACATTCAGTCTTCACTTTGAAGTCGACTTTAGACTTTTTCTGCCGACTGGCAGTCAACTAACAGTCGACTTGATGCTGTTTGGGATGTTTCCTTCACTGTCCCTGATCATGTTTTTAGGTTTGAATTCCTTCCTACTGTTGTTGATATTTTGGTAAAATTTCTTAACTTCATACTGACTGCAAGGATTTCAGCTCTTCGAAGCTCTTGTCATTGTACTTTCTCTTTTTCTTGTAAACGCACTTTTCGGTTCTTCTTAATTCTTTGTATCTTTCCATTAGGGCTCCAATTCTTTTACTTTGTTGTATTTTTAAGTAGGCCTGGTTCTTTTTTTGTGTCACTTCCTTGCATTTTTCATCGAATTAATCCTTTATTTTATTGTTGTTGTTTCGTTGAGTTTTTAATGTAATTTCTGTGACTGTTTTTAAGATTCCCATACAGATGTTGCATTTTTGCTTAGCAGTTTGATTTCTACTTTGATTTTTTCAATTGTCTCCAGTAATTGCCTGATTCTAAGAAGTTGCGATAGATCTCCGTTTTTTAGAGTATCTGTTTATCTTTTTTTCTCTTCTGGGTTGTTGTGTTCTTGTACTGAAGATCTTATCGTTGCTTTAACTAGGTGGTCGGAGTCTATGTTTGTATCTCTCATAGTTTTCTTACTAGCGTCAGATTTGATGTGTGCATCAATCAAAATGTGATTGATTTTATTACATGTTTCTTAATCTGATGAAACCCATGTGTATTTATAAATGTTCTTCCTTAGGAACATGGTGTTGTCACCACCATTTTTGCTTGCTACGAAGTTAACAACTCTGAGATCGTTTTCGTTACTTTCATCATGAAGACTATGTTTCCCTGTTTGGCGTAGGTGGAACTCTTCGCATCGTATTTTTGCATTTAAGTCTTCAGTTGATGCTAGTCTTCAGTTATTATTAAGTCTTCAGCATTTAAATCTTCAGTTCATGCTAGTCTTCAGTTACTATTTTCATATCATTCCGCGGACAGTTGTCCAAGACTCTTTCTAGTGCATGATCTAGAGGATATCTTTTTCGTTTTCATTTTATTCTTCTGTTGGTATACGCGCGTTGATTAAGTTGATGTTATTGAATTTACCCTTTATGAGTATTACGCATATTCTATGGTTCACTGGCCTCCAGTCTATAATTTGGTGTTTTGATGTCCGATCAACTACGAAGCCTACTTCCAATGCATAGTCTTTCTTATCGCAGCTATAATAAATAAAAATGTCGAAGTTATTTTTGTGTAGAATACCGCTATTTGTCCATGCCTATTTAACTTGTTGGGTCGTAAGACTGATTTCCTTCCTATCCAAGGCGTCTGTTGAGCTTTCGTAATCGTAAATTTTCCGGAACTGGATGATTAGCCCAGCGCTTAACTCCCTCAACCAGATCACCTTACTTCTCTGTTTTCCTCATTTTCCACCAGGTTTGGTTACCCGATCTTTCATAAGGATTACTAGTATCATCGCTCGAAGGTGAAGCAGAAGATTGACCGTGGGATGTGACAGGCATCATCTTTCTCGATCAATCATTATGTTATACACCATTGTCCTTTTGACATCAATATATATACTTAATATCAATAAATAAATATCAACTTAATATCAACAATGATTGTTTATTTTTATTTATAGGAAATAGAATAAAAATAAACATAGATGCTAACTTATATATTTTGGTTGTACATCGTGGGAATCTTGGTTAATATTCATGATTCTTAAAAAAAATTAAATAAAGCATGTGTAAAAGCAGAAGAGGAATTAAATAAAGCATGTGTGAACTTTAAATCTAAATAGTTTAGTAATTGCTATGCATAATAATTTATTGAAAAGCGTAGACTTTATAAAGAAAATATGTAACATTTAAACATTTGCTTATATAAATTGCATCTCTATCTATTCTCTCGATTTGAGAGTTAAATAGAGTAATTGATGATATGTCATTTTGGATACTTTAGAAAACTTTTAATATATAGGTGGACCAGAAAAATTTTTCAAATTGGCTACAAAAAAGATTTGGAAGAAGTTGACCTTTATGCCACACTTACGCAAGACGAAACTGGCCATTTGGATAAAATTATAAATAAAGCATGGGAAAAAGAATTAGAATCATGTACGAAAAAAGAAAATGGATCTACGCCACAATTACTCAGAGTATTAATACGCTGTTTTGGAAAACCATTTCTACTAATTGGATTAGCAGAAGCAATTATGGAATTATTTTCTAGGTATATGATACTTTCTTATTAAATAAAGAGATAAATTATACAATATCATCATGCTAATATTATAATTTAAAAATAGAATATTGATTTTATTTATTTTTCTTTTGAAATTAAAAAAAACAATATACAGAATATGATATAGATTATATACAGGGTGACCCATTTTAACTTAGGCAACCAAATAACTCGAAAAATAAGCACACTACGAAAAAATGGTTAGAATCAAAATTTCGTCATTTCGAGGGGGACGTACAATGACGTTAAAATCAGCCCCTCCACCCCTCCCCCTGGGCGGTGAGGGGGGACAAGTTTGAAATCTTAAATGGAATCCCCTATTTTTCATTGCATATTCTTGTAGCTTATCTCGAGAGCTTTCCAAAACACTATAATTAAGTACCTTTTCATTAAGTACTTTTTGAGTTATAAGGCTTGAAATAATTTCTTAATTTTACATAAACCATAAAATATCTAGTAAACCATTCATTTTTCGATTATCTTACCTTCATACTTTTATGTACAAAATAATGAGAGGAATCAATTGGTGTAAAGAAAACATACAGTTGTTTTTAAGAAAAAATATGGAATTGTTAATTGCAAATTACATATTTTTTCTTAGAAACAACTATGTGTTTTCTTTACACGTTCATTGTACGTCCCCCTCGAAATGACGAAATTTTGATTCTAACCATTTTTTCGTAGTGTGCTTATTTTTCGAGTTATTTGGCTGCCTAAGTTAAAATGGGTCACCCTGTATACAGAGTATAACTAAAGCACCCAAGGAGCAAATAACGTCGGTGCTTATTGGCGCAACTTTATTCAATAATTACCGCTTTATTAAGCATTATAGAAAACAATAACTCTAGACTTTTCGACTCGATTTTTAATCAGGAATAACTCTGTTTGCTCCGTGGGCACTTTTTCAGTTACACCATGTATATATAAATATTGTGACGTTTTCTTCTTTTCTACTCAATTTTATAATTTTTCTTCGAAGATGATAGGGAAGAGAGTACAGGGGGGAGCGAAAACACCGTCAAACACAGGGCGAATATAGTATACTCGCGCTCGGAGAAACAGGGGTGGCGGGTGTTCGCGCGTGAGCCGTGGCGGAGCGAAGTCCGTACCGATATTTCGAAGTTGGGGGCCAGAGAGATACGGTCTTCCGTATCGTATTTTTACGTATCAATTTTTCGCTAAACGCCAAAGACGCGAAAAACGTCTGGTCTCGCCAACTAGCTCGCCTAACGGTAGAGGAGCAGGGTCTAGGGGGGGGGGGGCGTAACAGTTTTTCGAAGGAAGCAAGGAACGCAACAGAAAGGGAAGAGAAAAAAAGAGAAAGCGAACACGTTTTTGAAGATGGTTAAAATATAAGCGTGTATTGCATAAATCGACTCCGAGAATCAGAAGAGAATAAAACAGAATCAAGCGCGTAGAAGATTATAATTACAAAGAGCAGAATCAAGCGCGTAGAATATTATAATTACAAAGAACGGAAATAAAGATAGGACATAACGCACGGAAAGAACAGTAATATATTTTAGTCGCTTAGAACGTTGAATTCGCGGATCGGACTAAGAAAGTGCACCCGGTACTCTACGGGCCATATAGCGCAAAATTACCGCGGTTCAAATCCAACAAAAAGAAAACACCTAAAGATTGCTACGTGACTCGAGGTTTTCGGTCGTTGCGTTACTGAAGGTTCCGCGAGGCGCTCCTGCCCGTGTGCATACGGCACGGCGGGTCGTCGACAGCCTGCGCCTGCGACAGCTGATCGCTCGCACGTCCGTGGGCGGTGGACCGCGAACCGCAAAACGGAACGCAATAGGAGAAATAGGTAGTCGAGAATCGAGGCCCGTTTAGATCGTGTAATTTCCGGTTCACCGCGATAATTTCGAAGGTACTCACCCTTTTCAGTCGAGAGGGGTCTTCTCGTCATGAACCGTCTCCTTTCACTCAACAAAAAGGGATCACATCGGTCGCGGGATCCCCCACGACTTTCAACTTCGGTGCACGGTCGACAGCACTTCCGGGCGATTCCGACAACCTCGTTTTTAGAGTATTACACGTTGACATCAACACGCATTACATGGATAACGGAGAGGCGAACGAGTATACCGGATGAGACTAGAGAACCTCTAGGAGAGAGAATGGACAACTGATCATGTGACATGTGATCAAGCTTTTTCATGATTGGCTGGCAGAAAATGTATCAATTTTAGCTATTGCGACGCCAATGCAAAATATGATGACACACAAATAGGTTAATATATGTGTGTCATGTGTGTCCTATTTGTGTGTCATCATATTTTGCATTGGCGTCGCAATAGCTAAAATTGATACATTTTCTGCCAGCCAATCATGAAAAAGCTTGATCAGTTATCCATTCTCTCTCCTAGAGGTTCTCTAGATGAGACCGATCGACGGTTCCCTGTCACCCCTTGGCTATGGTCGCACTCGAATACTTCACACTACCGAAAATTTGGTATAAACGAAACACTAATCGCGACCGGCCAGAGGGGTCGACACGCGAGCCGTATCGATGGACGGCTTACAAATTTCTGTAATTACACACGAAGGTGACCTCACCGTTGGACTCGCCGCGTGTCGTCTCTTCCAAGTCGTCTTCTCGTGAGCACGTGCCGAGCATCCGCGATACTCTCGATATGCCTTAGGGTGAAAACTCGAAGAACAAGACTGACTCTCTCGGAATCGCGATATTTATTTCCGTTTATCCACCTCTCTCCCCATCGAGAGGGGTGCTAGTCCCGTTCTGGCGCGCTCGAATTTTCGAGCGTGGCGCAAGGACGCATCAGGCGCCCGCGGTCCCGCGTCTCCGGCGGTCCGCTGCTGCTACGCGTATTTTAACGCAAGATGTTCGGGAATTTTCCCGTCATTGCTGATATTTGCTGCTTCCATTGTTTGCCACTGGAGGATAGGAAATTCGCGGACTTCTCGTACGAAGCCTAAACACATCGCGGGGTGTTTTACGGCGGTGCCCGTCGTAGCCAGCCGTGCGAGGCTGAGCGAGTACCGCCGATTCTTATTTTCCTCAGCCCGTGTTTTGATCGGTGATGATTCGGTTGCGATGTTGCTCCTCTTGCTAGCTTCCGGGTTATTCTTCTGTATTGCTGGCGATGATTTATGGCACCCGAAACAATATAATTTCGACAACAATGATTAGCAATAACAGTTTTGATTACAAATGAACGCGCCCGCCTCTCTGTAAATCCCGGCGAGACTCTCGATATCTCCACCGGCGCGGCCGCTCGGCTCGCGCCACGCGGTCTTTTTGGCGGATGGACGCCCGTCGTGATGGCAACGTCACAATATATATATATATACATATATATACATACATATATATATATATATATATATATATATATATATATACATATATATTTAAAAATTAAGCTCCGGACAAAATTTTGGAAAGGGAAAAATCATTTTAGAATTCACTCAAGAATTTGATATTTTGACTGTCACAATGTTTAATTCCGAGCGTGGCCGTTTCGAACATGGCCGTTTCGAATGTGGCCATTACGAACGTGGCCGTTACGAATGTGGACAAATCGAACTTTATTCGATATTTCCCGTGGCCATTCCGAACGTGGCCATTTCGAATGTGGCCGTTCCGAACGTGGCTGTTTCGAACGTGGCCATTACGAACGTGGTCGTTTCGAATATGGCCATTTCGAACGTGGTCAAATTTATCCGTGGCCATTTTGAATGTAGTCAAATTATATCCACTCACTGAAAACGACGACTGACGACAACAAGCAGATTAGGTTGGTTCTAATGCCTAGCGCTGCCGAACGTATGGCGTTACGCGTGAGGCGCGAGACGCTATCGTGTCTTATAATTGGTTGAAGCCTCCGCATTGTAATTGCGATAGTCTCGAAAATATAAAATGTATAATATAAAATGTACTCGTTTTTTAAATAACTTAACATTATTAATATTATATTTATTACTAATATTATACGCTTTGTCTTCTTTTTGCAAACGAGATAATTATTATTTTCTTTAAATTATTATATATTTCATTTTATTATATTTTATTTTACTTTATTTTATTTTATATTATTTTATTATATTTTTTGCGAATAAGATGTTTTATATAAAAATATGTTGATTGCTCTGAACAGAGCGGATTGGAAAAAATTTTATAATACGTTTAAAATGACTACCATCCATTCTAACGCAAGCTCTCATGCGTTTTAATAAATTTCTTACATTCTCCATTATCTTCTTTGATGTCCAAATAGCATGTTGCAGTCTTGTATTTAAATCGTCGCCAACCTTGGGAAGCGTTTTAAAAATTACTTTCTTACATATTCCCATAAAAAGAAATCTAAAGGATTGAGATCCGAGAATTTTGCGTACCACTATATCGGCCCATCCAACGTTCAAGAAATTACTCGTTCAAATAATTTGTAACGATTCTGGCGTTGTGTGGCTCAGCACCGTCTTAAAAAACCGAAACATAATGGCGGCACGCGCTTCTTACCTACGCGTATTCACCGATCTTTTTTAATTAATCGAATTTTACATGCTGCATTTCAAAATAATATGACTTTTTAGTTCTGTTAAACTATTTAATTATGGTTTTTTTGGGCATATAATATGAAGGACATCCTGTATGGATTAAGAGATAAAGTAAAAGAGATTGGGAAAAATGTTTCAGACAATAGTTTTATGGTTCCGAGAGTAGCAGAAGTTGGTCATATCAATTTAATTGTAGGTGGCGCCACTTTCGAGATTTTTGCATGGCGGCAATTTTTTAAATGGTAATCGAATTTTTTGTTCCAGTGAATGTTGTAGCTAGCATTGAGACAAATATAACGGTTTTTCATTTTTTGAAATTAGATCATTTTTCACTGAGTTACAGTATTCCAAAATTAGTAATTAAAGTAAAAATCTTTTATCCCGATACAATGTGCATATTTTGTGACTCTAAACCGCCTTTCACCTCTCTCTCTCTCTCTCTCTCCTCCCCTTCC